AAAAGCAAAGGACTGGAAGGCCCCCTTCAAAAAGGCAAGCCTGCATCAGCTCCTGCCCAGAGCTGGGTGCCAGTCAGTAGCAGATCGGTTATGGACAACAGGGCTGCTGAAACTCAGACAATCGTGACAGCTGTGGGACAAATCCTGGTGGAAAAATTGGGACTCCACCAAGGAATTCAGGCCTCAGAGATATATCAGCACAAGGAATTGCAGGCCCCAGTACATAGGCATTCTTGCCCCCACAGGGCTTTTGCTTCCACAGACCAGAAGAGAGTGATGGGAGGGATAGCCTCCAATCAGCAAGGTACCCCCAAGGGTCTTAGCTGCCCTAGCAAGAGCCAGCTGACCAGAGACAGGAGTGGCGAATGGGAAAGCCTCCACAGGGACCTGGGGCCCCCAGGCAGACCCGGCCAGCACCAGCTGATGGTGGCAGGTGTCTCAGGTCGAGTTCACCATTATCCTACATGCAGTCTTCGAAAATATGTCTCAACCTATCAGGCAGAGAACGCTTCACACATCTTTCCTGGTCAGAAAGATTTCCTTCAAGAAAAAATCGAGTATATGCAAAGAAAGCCCATTTTTTCTCACATTAGCACATCCTCTGTGTGCTAATGACTTCCCCATGCCACAATTTTTATTGTTTCCCAAAAATATATGTTTGTTTTTTTTTCTCATGAGTGGTGCTGGACTTTGTGTGTGTCCTGGTTGGGTGGGGGGTGGGGGGTCAGGGTTTTCTCTCCCCGAGGGCCTGCTTTGGCTTCCAGAAGGAATGGGGCCTTGGAGGGCCAGTGACCTTGGGGTTCACCCCCGCCCCCTTCCTCACACACCTTCCATTTCCACGACAAGGTGAACAAGACCCAGAGTGGAACCTCGCTCTGCCCATCCTCTCCTGCTTTCCCTTCACCTGAAATTTGCGTGGCTGGAGGGAGGGTCTGCTGAGGCAGAAATCCTGCTCAGGCTCCAGGAAGACGGAGTTCTAGATCAGAGTGGGGCCCGCAGTTGGGAGACGCAAGGCTGGCCCTGAGGGCAGAGGTGAGAAATCCTGCCCCCACCACCGTCTCCTGTGGGGAGTAGAGGACGGCCACCCCAGGAGCCTTCTCTTCCCAGAGAATCCCATCTTAGCTCCATGCAGCCCCTCTTAAACACTCGGAGCAGCAAGGGACGAGCTCGCTCCTGGCGCTGAGGATGTGTGGGGTGCCACAGACACCCCCAGACACCAGCCTGCCCAGCCCCAGGGCACTGAAGGGGCCCACTCACCAGTACCTCCTTCCCCTTCTGGGGGATGGAGGGGGTGTGGCTGTGGGCAGGGGGACCCTGCGCTGACGGTGGGAGGCCAGGAAGGAGGTCAAGTGACAGGGTAAGCCCATGCCTGGTGTGATGACTGAGGACCCTTGGTGTCCCACTGCCACCTATGGGCCCAGAGGGGAGAAGTTAGAGGCCCTGGGACTGTCCCCCAGGATTTCCACCCCACTCCAGCTGCCAAGTCGAGGGGCGGGGTGTTGGAGGGGGTGGGGTGGGGGTTGTACAGAAGCCACCTGAGCTCCCACATGGAGGGCCAGGTTCCCAGAGGCAGCAAGACCTTCAGGCAGAGAAGTTAACTTCTGCACAATTTGATAAGCTTGTAGAACTGCGGGCCCCAGGACGGACTTGTGGTCTGTGACCTTTACATACACGTGTTTTCCAAGGATGGCTCCCAGGGGACTGGTGGGGACTTGGAGGCCAAGGGACTGGCCTGGCTCCTGGTCATAGTTATCCCAGAGCCCAGAAGGGCTTGTCCCACCCCCAGCTGGAAGGGACGTGTCCAGAATGAGGGTGCAGTCCAGGAGGGCCCCCCCCCATGTGCCCCGCTCCCAGCCCAACATCATCCTCCAGGGCCCCTCACACATCACTGACATGGTGGAGGGATCCCCATCTGGATCTCCATCCAGATGGCAGCAGGCATGGCCCTGCCCTCATGCTTTCAGGATACCCCATGTGGGAATGTATCTGGGGTGAGGGACAAAGTGGGTGCAGTCCTCTGCTGCAGCTTTTCCCTGGAGCCAGGTCCTGCCTCTAAGTCCCCAGGGTGGACCAGCAGTGACAATGTAGTCAGGACCCGGGGGAGGTGGTACAAGGACAGAGAGTGCCCCAGGCCCTTGGAAACTCAGGAGAGAGTGGCCCAGAGCAGAGTCCTGAACCTGGCTGCTGCTAGGTCCTCCCAGTGGACCAGTTGAGGAGTCGGACGTGCACCCCACGCTCCTGTTGGTAGAAGTGCCATGGACAGGAGGCTGGTGGAACAGCCAGAAACAGGAAGGAGCAAGTCCCCTTGCCCTTCTCCTGCCAGATGGTACAAGAGGGCCAGAAAGGGAAAGCCCCATGCCAAGAGACCTTGTGCAGAGACCTCTGACAGAGACCCACACCAAGACCTCCCACAGAGACTCATACAGAGACCCACATTGAGACCTCCCACAGAGACCCATACAAAGCCCACACAGATCCTACAAACAGACCTCTGACAGGGGCCAACATCAAGAGCCCTCATGAACACCATGTCCAGGGATGATCTTCAAAGCCCTCCCACACATACCTTATGCAGAAACTCTCACAGTGGACAACACCAAGAGACTTCACAGAGACCTGTGACAGAGATCCACACAGACTTTTCTCAGACACACCTCAGAAACCAATCTGAATACCCACACACAGCTCTGCAGAGCCCACACAGAGGCCTCCCAGTGCCCTGCAGACACCAAAGACATACCTTGAACAGAAGCCTCACCTCCATCCTTAGGAGCCCAAGTAGACACCCAGTGATAGGTCCCGCATGGATCTGAAGCCACTTAGCAAACTGGCAGTGCAGCTGTGCTCTACAGAGAAAAGGCCTGTGTATTTTTTAATTACTTATGAAAAAGACTTAGATTCCCCATGTAAACCTGAAAAATCCTTTCCTTCACAGATTTTCATTAGCTTGAGCTCCCACGCACAGTTTAAATAATCAGAAACTGAAAACAAAACTTTGCCATCGTCTAATGAGGGAAGAACTCTTATTTGTCTAGTTCTAGCTACGGTTTAGTGAAATGGCCTGAGGGGTCACGTTCTTTATTTTGTTAGGGACAAGTCCCTCCACCCAAAGTGACTTCTTCACATTGGAAACACTGTAGGGAGGCTACAGCCATTGGAATGTGGGATGGAGTGAACCAGCAGAGAAGCCACTAACTCAGCTGTACAGACAGCACGCTCTTTGGCCCAGAGCTGCTTGTGGTAGGTTTGCGAGGCTTGCTTTATTTTTAAATCAAAGAACTCACAATGTCAAACACATGAAGCTGTTTTAGAAATGAGATAGTTCGGCAATATTTCTGCTATTGCCTTTGGTTTGTTTATATTTATTGTTAACAACATAAAATAATTATATCTTTTTCTTTTTGTTCCTTTTAAAATATGATAGTATCCTTAGATGATATCATGTATATGTCCAGAATATGAAAAAAATCACAAGCTAATGCTCAACTATGGTAGCTTAAACTTCTGGAGTATTCAGAAAGTTTCATATTTTACAGAATCTTAAGGCACGTTCAGTTTCTATGGCTCGGGAAGTCAGGCTCTGCTTTATATTATCAGCTAAAAAAGGGCACAATGCTTAAATAATTTTGGAATCCTAGAAAATATTCCATTTAGTTGCTGCTTGAAATATATATTACCTCAGTTAAATTACTTGGAAATTGGCATTTTAACATCTGTTAAATTTAAAAAGTATAATTTTAATCAGCATTTCATTATAATAACAAAGATCTCACCATCTACCTAATATTTTCCAAACTGGGCACTTAGTTGAGACTCCATATTTCTCACTGGTCTTAAGGGTCCTGTTNTTGCCCTGACTTGATAAGATCTAGATAACAGATCTCAAGTGTATGCCGAAATCTCTCAGGTCACCCACTGAGGTGATGATGCCACAATCTTTTCTCTCAGAAGAGAGGAAGAGCTGGTGTCAGTTCTGTGGGTATATATACATTTTTTAATTAGGAAAAAACATAGGCAGTAAAATATTTTATGGACTCACAGTTATTAATGTTATTAACATTTTGAAATTTGCTCCCTTGATGATACTTTCTCATGTTACTGAATCACAGGAACTATGGAAAGTGGCCCTGGATAGCCTATAATGTCCCATCAGTAGTATTTAATAACCAAGACAACTCATCATTTCCTTATAGATGCCTGCATCCATGATAACCCACAATCATAAAAAAGATACTTTCTTTTTTTAAGTTTAAGCTACTTCTAAACTATGGTTTTAGTCAGAATTAAACTAAATTCTTGTAAGAGGTATAAAATAATGTAACTTCTAACAAAATAGACAGGAATTTTTGAAGTCCTACCGTCTTTTGAAGGAAAACATCACTGCCTCGTCTCATCCTGATAACAAGAAATGAGATGACACAGCTCTTTGCTCTCAGCAATTTTATGTGTGTGTGTTAGTTGGTTCTGTGGATCAGATGCATTAGTATTCTTTTTTTTTTTTAAGATTTGTGGGACAGACTATTTTTATAGAAGCGATAAATAGGACATGTGTCTTGTTAGTGTCAGTAGCCATTCTTACCCCACTTGGAATAAGGGCAAGTGAGGAACTGACACAAACATTTTCTGGGAAGTGATTCCATTACCTCGAACCTTTCTCAGTAAAAGAAAAGGTGGGAGGTCTCAGGTAGGAAGCTGAGACACTTTTGCCCCACAAATAAGTACACAATTCATAGGCTATTAAAACAGGGAGGGCTACTGCAGGCTGTTGGCTGGAAGGATTTGCAGAGAGCAGATGAAGAAGGACAGGCACGTTTAAGGCCTCTTGGCCATAGCCAGGTCACCATTTATAAAATGTGCCCATAATATAAGTAGGAAACAAAACTTGACCAAAGCATGCTGCGTGTCCTATCTTCCCTCAATTTACACAAGGAAGACACTGCCCTCCACCACCACCTCCCCCCAGAACCCTCCCTCATTGTCAGACACTCACTGCAGACTTCAGATGAAGAAGTAGGTAAAGAAAGGAGGAAGAGAAGAGAAGAGGGGAGACAAAGAACCATTACCAACACACACGCATGCATGCGCGCACACACACACACTCACACACACGATGGTGTTGGTCTCTGCTTTATCCCAGCCACCTAGTTAACAAATGGGGATCCCATGGCACGGAGAGTCTCCCCAAGCCACATGGGTACTCAGCGTCCACATCTGACTCTAATCCAATGCTTCCTCTGCTACACGACTTGAGCATTGTGAAAGGATCCCTTTCCTAAGTCAGACAGATGATATTCCTACAGGAAATTATTTACACCACCACCAGATAATGGCACATATCACTATTTCAGAGAGAAAAAAAGGAAGAAAAAGTCATCTTGCCATTTAGATAATGAAAATTTCAGAGAATAGAAACCTCTCTGGATCACAGTCTGGTTTTTTGTTTGTTTGTTTTTTAAATATTTTATTTGACAGTGAGAGATAGTGAGAGAGGGAACACAAGCAGGGGAGCTCAAGAGGGAGAAGCAGGCTTCCCACCCAGCAGGGAGCCCGATGTGGGGCTTGGTCGTGGGATCCAGCCTGAGCCGAAGGCAGACGCTTAACGACTGACCCAC